CAAATCGCATTTACAAAGCATACAAGAAATTTTGTGAAATACATGGCTGTCACATACAAAAATCAAGCGAAGGGAAAAAAGAAATAAAAGAAAAAAAAAAAATAAGCACGAGCAGGAATACAACGAAAGCAAAGAAGGCGCGCGTTCGAGATCCAACGCCCCTCCCTCCCCCCCAACAGCAAACCGCCCCTGTCCCTGCCTGGTTGGTGACGAAGGAGAACACGCCCTCCCCGGACTCGCTCTTGCGCCCGGCCTCCAGATGGAAGTCGTTGGTCCTGTAGCCGAAGCGTCGCAGTTGGCCCATGGACCAGCGCATCACCCGCTTGCCCTCGGGGGTGATGAGGGTGATGTGGCCGTCCTCGATGAGCAGCCGCATTTGGCCATCTACGGCGAGCCTCGACCGCGTCTCCGCCCCGATCGTCACCATGAATTCGCGCGTGACTGTCGGGGGGGGAGATATTTTTTAGAGAGGGGGGAGGGGAGGGGGGGGGAGGGGCGTTACAAAAAGAGGGAGATTGAATTTTTTTTTAAAAGTGGAAGGGGCTCAGGGGAGCGGGTGGAGGGATGGGGGAAGTGGCTGGAAGGGGACTTAGAAGAGAAGAGGGAAGGATTCAGAAGAGAAGGGAAGAACCAGAGAGGGATTCAAGGGCGAAGGGCTGTAGGTAAGGGGAGGGACGCAGAGGGAAGGCGGGATAGGTTAGAGCTGCGTTTATGTAAGGGAAGAGGGACTGGTAGGGGAGGGAAATGGGGAGGAGGAAAGTATGGAAAGGAGGAAACAGGGAAAGAAGGAAGGAGGGAGGGAGATGTCAAGGATATCTGCAATACATCGTTATATATTTCCTACGTGTCAGGTACATGTCCAAACTGCATAATCAATAAAAAATAGTAATTAAAAAGGAAAAAAACAGACAGGTAAATGGTGGACATTTCCTCTGCATTACCTTCGTCAGCAGATATATAGATGTCGTTTTCGGACACGATTCCGTCCGCGCCTACTGTGGTGGTGGAGTTCGCGCTCTCTTGCGGCTGGAAGAAGACGTCCTGAATCATCTGCAGGAGAAGCGGAAAAGAAATGTTTTTGGTGTCCTCTGTTGCACAGACGCATACCCAAACCACAGAGATATTTACACATAAACATACATACACATATTTATATACATACACACATGTACTCACACATACGCACACACATAGACACACAAACACACACACACACACACACACACACACACACACACACACACACACACACACACACACACACACACACACACACACACACACACACATAGGAATCCTTGAAGGCATAGTTTACTAACTTATTTAAAAGCGACTTAATTTCAAATTCAGTGAATCTTCCCTGCTTTAGGCTCCAGTCCTCCTCTCAATTCATTTTGCATGGTCATTTCTTCTCCTCTTTTCCTTTTCCTCTCTTCACCCCTTTCTTTTGTCCGCATCCTAATCGTGAACCCACCCTTTCCCTCTTCGCCACAATATTTTACCATAATACCATGATTTTTTTTATGTCTGGCATTTTATTTGTTTTGGCCATGAACCATTCTGCGAATCCACAATCATCGTCTTATTAAACCAAAAAAAAATTCTTTACCTGAGTACCTTGCCCTTCCAAGCCACCCTATCCCTTTATTTTGAATGATCTGAGATGTTGAAGCGGCAGAAGAACATTTTAAATGAATAAATAAATATCGTTTTATCGTCGAATGCGTTCACTCTCCCCTAACATTAGCTTATTTCCTAATCGCTCCTCTGGTAAGTTTTGCACTCCTCTGGATTAGGTTTACTGTATGTAACCTGTCGTTCTTTACACTGTTTTATGCAGTGTATTTCTCTCTCTCCCCCTCACTATCCCCATGCCTCTCCCTTTCCCCGTTCCTCTTCTTTCCCTTCTCCCTCCCTCCTCCTCTCACTCCTCCTCCTCTCCCTCCTCCTCTCACTCCTCCTCCTCTCCCTCCTCATCTCACTCCTCCTCCTCTCCCTCCTCATCTCCCTCCATCCTCCTCTCCCTTCTTTTCTCCCTCCTCCTTTCCCTCCTCCTCTCCCTCCTCCTCTCCCTCCTCCTCTCCCTTCTCATCTCCCTCAATCCTCCTCTCCCTCCTCCTCTCCCTCTTCCTCTCCCTCCATCCTCCTCTTCCTCCTCATCTCCCTCCTCCTCTCCCTCCTCCTCTCCCTCCTCCTCTCCCTCCTCCTCTCCCTCCTCCTCTCCCTCCTCCTCTCCCTCCTCTTCTCCCTCCATCCTCCTCTCCCCCCCCTCTCCCTCCTCCTCTCCCTCGTCCTCTCCCTCCCTCCTCCTCTCCCTCCTCCTCTCCCTCCTCCTCTCCCTCCCTCCTCCTCTCCCTCCTCCTCTCCCTCCTCCTCTCCTCCTCCTCTCCCTCCTCCTCTCCCTCCTCCTCTCCCTCCTCCTCTCCCTCCTCCTCTCCTCCTCCTCTCCCTCCTCCTCTCCTCCTCCTCTCTCTCCTCCTCTCCCTCCTCCTCTCCCTCCTCCTCTCCCTCCTCATCTCCTTCCTCCTCTCCCTCCTTTTCTCCCTCCTCCTCTCCCTCCTCCTCTCCCTCCTCCTCTCCCTCCTCCTCTCCTCCTCCTCTCCCTCCTCCTCTCCCTCCTCCTCTCCCTCCTCCTCTCCCTCCTCCTCTCCCTCCTCCTCTCCCTCCTCCTCTCCCTTCATCCTCCTCCTCTCCCTCCTCATCTCCCTCCTCCTCTCCCTCCTTTTCTCCCTCCTCCTCTCCCTCCTCCTCTCCCTCCTCCTCCTCTCCTCCTCCTCTCCCTCCTCCTCTCCCTCCTCCTCTCCCTCCTCCTCTCCCTTCATCCTCCTCTCCCTCCTCCTCTCCCTCCTCATCTCCCTCCTCCTCTCCCTCCTTTTCTCCCTCCTCCTCTCCCTCCTCATCTCCCTCCTCCTCTCCCTCCTCCTCTCCCTCCTCCTCTCCTTCCTCCTCTCCCTCCTCCTCTTCTCTTTTTCCCTCTCGTCTCCCTTTCCCTTCCTTACCCTGACCCAGGCGTCTCTTTCCTCCCTGCTGTCGACGGAAAAGTCGTTGACTTGATCCTTGATCGAGACCTGTAAAACAGAGAAAGTCAATAAAGCAATTCTAGCATGAAGGGAAATTGCTAAACTTTATCAACATAATTCTAACATAATGCGATTATTATTTTGATATATCATAACTTGAACACAATATAACATTAAAATGAATACAACATAATTTTTAACAAATTAAATATATGATTCAAATTTGATAAACATTTAATAAAACATATCAAAACATGGTATAACTTAAACATTTTGAAATGTAATTGACTAGAACATACATCATATTTGTAAATAGTCGTATCTATGATATAAACATATCATTTCTATTAGCCACTCTCATTTCTGCCTCAGAGTAACAGTAGAGCCAATAACTTATAAATAACAATAACAACAATCAAGAAAATATTGTTACAACATTCCCAACATTCTTAAAGACACCAGTGTAGGTAAATCCGCTGTGAGAATAAAGGCTTATGATAAAATAGGGTGAAAGAGGGTGTTCGATTCCCTTGCTATATTCGCCATTCGCATCCAGGCCTATTTAGCGACATTGCAAACCAGTCACTTCACACCTAGAACCCATTCTACTTAGCGTCTCTTAACTTTGCAAACCAGTTATTTTAGAGTTAGAGCCCACTACGAAGCCAGCAACGTGGACAAACAAACACAGTGGTGAGAATAAATGCAATAAGAAGAGAAACCAACCGGAAATAAGACCAAGTCTACAATAATAAATGGGGCAAAGCAAATAAATAAGAGAGTTAATACACCAATGATAATAGAAACACTTTGAATAGGTTTCATTTCCTTTTCGTTCTCCAGATAATCAAAACTGAATAAAAAAATAATTAAAAAAGCGGTTGCCGAGAGTTTACTGATGGTAATATAGATAGAGATCTTAATAACAAAAGTAATGATAAACAAATTTATGATACGGATAATAACTACAGAATTATCAATAATAATGATGGTAAAAATGAGGATAATGATATAAACGGTTACATTTATAACATTTAATTCTTACAATTTTCATGGGAATTTCAGGAAGAGAAAAAGATGGAGAAAAAGGAAAAACTTATTAAATCAATTGCATAAAGGCTACTTTTTTAAATAAAAAAAACAGACGGGCAATCATAAGAAAATAGGAAAAAAATGCAAAAGGAAAAAAAAACGTAAGACGGCCAAAGTGAAAAAGAAAAAAAAGAGTGAAAAAAAATGTGAAAAGGAAAAAAAAGAAAATGAGAAAAAAGGAAAAAAAGAACATGTGAAAAGAGGGGAAAAAAAGAAAATATGAAAAAGGAAAAAAAAAAAGAAAATGAGAAAAAAAGGAAAAAAAAAGAGAGAGAGAGAGAGAGAGAGAGAGAGAGAGAGAGAGAGAGAGAGAGAGAGAGAGAGAGAGAGAGAGAGAGAGAGAGAGAGAGAGAGAGAGAGAGAGGCATAAAGGGGTGAGGAGGCATGGAGAACAGGGGAAGAGAGACAGGAAGGAAATAAACAAAGTCCCAGAATCTAATTATATGAATTATGTGAATTATATGCATGTGTGTGTGGGGGGGGGGGGTTATATGTGTGTGTGACAGAGAGAGAGAGAGAGAGAGAGAGAGAGAGAGAGAGAGAGAGAGAGAGAGAGAGAGAGAGAGACAGACAGACAGACAGACAGACAGACAGACAGAGCCAGACAGAGATAGAGACAGAGACACAAAGAGACCGAGACAGAAAAAAAAAAAACAGACAGAAACAGAACCACAGACAAACAAACAAACAAATAACCGCCAAGACGACAGAGAACCGACTTACCTGAAACGACAGCGGTCCGCTCGGTGCCACCTTCGTCACCTCCGACGCCACGATGACAGAGGAGGGGGGGCCCGACACCGATGCCTTGCCGTCGGAGAAGAGCTCTAATCTCGCCACTCCGCTGCGGGACGTCTTGTAGAGCTTGGCGTAGAGCTGCCTGTGTTT